TTAATAAGATTCTCAAGAGATTTCATGTCAGAAACTTTGGAGGCCAGAAGGCAGTGGGCTAATATATATTCAAACTGCTGAAAGAATAAAATTGTCAACCAAGAATACCATATCCAGCAAAACCATCCTTCAAAAGTTAGATATAAATTAACACATGCCCAGATAAATAAAAACTGATGAAATTCATTATCATTAGACCTATTCTGTAAGAAATGCTACAAGAAGTCCTGAAAGCTAAAATGAAAGGACACTTGACAGTAACTAGGAACCATATGAAGAAATAAAGACCTCAGTAAAGGTAAATACATGGGCAATTATAAAAGCTAGTAATATTATAACCAATCTTTGTAATTCCATTTTTTGCTTTCTATATGATTTAAGAGAGAAACTTTTTTCAAATTATAAATCTAAAAGCTAGCATTGTAACTTCAGTTTGTAACTCCACATTTTGTTTTCTATATAATTTAAGAGACTAATGTATTTAAAATAATTATTAGTTTATGTTTTGGAGCACATAATGTTTAAAAATATAACTGTATTACACCAACAACCAAAAGGAGGGAAAGCAAGCTATAAAGGGGCAGAGATTTTATTTGTTATTGAAGATAAGTTGGTACAAATTCAAATTAGAATGTTATAATTTTAGTATGTTAAATGTAATCCCCATGGTAACCAGATATAAAGTAGCTAAACAACATACACAAAAGGAAATGAGAAAGGAATTTAAACCTTTAACTACAAAAAAAAAAATCAACTAAAAGCAAAAGACAGCAATACAGAAAATGAAGGATAAGAAATCTATAATACACATGAAAAACAAAACAGCAAAATGACAGAAGTTCTTCCTTATCAGTAATTACTTTAAATGAAATGAATTAAATTTTCCAATTGAAAGACAGAGATGGGCAGATTGGATCAAAAAATGTTACAACTATGTTATGTCTCATGGATAATAAGCACATGATATTATGCTCAACATCACTAATCATTAGGGAAATGAAAATCTCATTATACTCATTAGTTTGACAAAAATGTTTAAAGATATGTGTGTGTATGTGTGTGTACAGTCATCAAGAACCTTGTCTCTAATAAGTGTTTGATTCCAAGGATCCAATGGTGATATTTTGTGTATCTCTATTGCATATCATGCCATGAACTAGCCATGCTCTCCTTGCTACTGGTAATAGTCATTAGGGTATTTAAATTTAATCAGGTTGTAGAAACTAGACTCGAGGGGTAGAAATGGGAGTGGCACCACTCAATATTACTCATATGACTCACTAGCGAAATTTTTCCTTCCTTTCCCCAGGACTGTATGCTCTCCTGGCCTCAAGGTCTCAGTTCCAAAGGAAGAAATGCTTCCACCCAAAGACAAAACAATGATTTCATTGAACTGGAAGTTAAGATAGCTGCCCTGCCATTTGGGCTCCTTATGTCTCTCAATCAACAGGGAAAGGAGGAAGTTATTTATGGTGTTGGATGGTGTGACCGATTCTGACTATCAAGGGGAAACTGAACTTCTACTTCACAATGGAGGTAAGAAAGAGTACACCTGAAATGCCTTGTGATTAAACGCAATGAAAAATTACAAGAGGCCAATTCAAACAGGATTAATGGCCAGACCCAGAATGAAAATTTGGGTCACCCCACCAAGTAAAGAACCACAACCAGCTAAAGTTATTGTTGAGGGCAAAGGAAATATGGAATGAGTAGTGGAAGAAGACAGTTATAATACCATCTACAACCATATGACCAGTTACAGAAACTAGGATTCTAACTGCCATGAGTATTTCATCATTAATTTGTTATGAATGTGTTTATGTGTGTATAGCGTATATCATTGTTTTCTTCCCTCTCTTTTTGTCTTGTATAACATAAGATTTATATCATGGGATTTAAGTATTTTTAATTTTACTTCATAGTTTAATTTAAATTATGGAATATCAAGAAGAGTAAACATCACCCAAGGACTTCGCATCCTCTTCTGGGAAAAGAGTGTGTTTTTGAAAAATAGCTGATCACATTAGGCAGAAGTATGACCTTGTTGTTGTCTTTGTTTAGAGGTTAAATATGGTTTAAGGAGTGCCAAGTTGATAAAGGATAGACTGTGATATTTAATTTTATGTGTTAACTTTTGGTCCAACATGATTCCAAATGTTTCTATGAAATAGTTTCCTGATGAGATAAACATTTAATTCAGTAGACTTTGAGTTAAGCAGTCCATAATGTAGGTGGGCCTCATACAATCAGTTGAATCATAATAAAATACAAAGATTGACCTCCTCTGAAGAAGAGGAACTCTGCCAGTATACTGCCCTTGGATTCAAACTGCAATCACTCCTCCCTGGGTCTTTGGCCTACTCTGGACATTTTAGACTTACTACATCTCCACAATCACAGGAGCCAATAGCTTAAAAACAATCCCAATCTCTCAGTCTGTCTCTCTCTGTCTCTCTCTCTCTTTCTCCCTCCTTCCCCAAACACCTCTCCTTCCCTCCCTACGTACACACATACATGCATGCACACACACAAATACAAATAAATTGGTTCTCTTTCACTGGAAAACTCTAAGACAACTAGTTCAAATTTTAAAATAATAATATAAAAGGTACCACTGTGTTAAAATGCTGAAATACTGGACCACCAATAATCCACACAGCTAGAGGGGTGATGCTTTGCACAGGAGAAGGCTAACAGGACTCAGGCTCCATTGCTATGGTTAATATCTATCCTGTCTGGTTGTCATACTAATGGTCTGTGGTTCCACCTGGGGCACAAACCTAGGACCTTCTGCGTGTAAAGCAGACGTGCTAATCACTATACATTGTTCAAAAATTTTAATATCACTCTTTTTCACACTATACATAAATATTAATTCCAAGTAACTTGAATGTTAGAGTCAAACTTATAAAACTTTTAGAAAAAAATATAGGACAATATCTTCATAACTTCAGAGGGAAGAACATGTTAAATAAAGCAGAAAAACTACAAGCCAGAAGGTCTACACACTCATACAACTACATAAAATACATAAAATAAAAAATAAAGTAAACAATGCCTATTTATTAAAAGCAGCATAGAGTTTAAAAAAAAAAAATGCCATGGGGTGGCTCCATAGTATAGTGATTAGCACGTCTGCTTTACACGCAGAAGATCCTAGGTTTGTGCCCCAGGTGGAACCACAGACCATATCCCAAGTGCGCCAGGCCCTTAGGTGCACCAGGCCCTTCGTGTGCCAGGCCCCCCAAGTGTGCCGAGGTGGTGGGGGGCCAGGCCCCGGCCGTGAGCGTGTGGGAAGAGATGCCTTGCCTTCAGAGATCCAGTTCTTAAAGGGAAACAGCAACATCCATAGGTCAGGGGTGGAAGTGGGGGTGGGGAGGGATTATAGAGGGGCGAAAAAATGCCACAATGTGAGAAAAGGTGTTTTTCATTCACATCAAAAACAATAAAGAACTAGGTGCAACATGAAAGGACTAACATCCAAAACATGTAAAGCATTCCCATGAATAGGAAAACTACAAGCTAATCTATAAAACATGAACAAAAGACTTAATCTAGAGTTTTAAAAAATAGGAATATCAACTGCCCAATAACATTTGAAAAGATGCTCAACTGCATTAGAAATTAGGGGATTGCAAGTTAAAAATACAGTGAGAGAAAGAATTACATTCCCATTAGATTGGTGAAAATTAGCAAGTGTCAAACAACCAAGAGTTGGCAAAGATGTAGAACAATAACTCTCATTTACTGCTTTTGGGAGTATATACTTGTAAATCATTTCAAAAAGTAGTTTGGCTTTACTTAGTAAACCTAGACATGGGAGAACGCTATAACTCTGAAATTCCACTCACAGGTATATACTATGAGAAATCTCTGCATATGTGCACCAGGATTTGTGTACAACAATTTTCACAGAGAGGCTGTTTAAAATAATCAAAAACTGGCAACAATCCAAGTTACAAACAAACAAACAAACAAAAGGATAAATTGTGATATATGCATGCTATGAATTAATATACAGCAGTGAACAAACTTAACAAACTGTAACTACATACATCTCCAGGGATAAATTTTACAATGTTAAATGAAAGAAGCAAGAAAGAATACTTTCAATAATAAAACCCATCCAGGTTTAATATTTCAATCCACCCCCAGTACCCCTGATACTTCTTGTCCTGCTCTTTTTTACCACAGCACTGAGCTTCTTGGCCAGCCTCTATGCTCTCTCAGAATGGGTCTCTGGTTTTTGTTATTATTTCACTAATGTAGGCAAAGCACATAAAACAGTGTTGGTACCTAGTACTTGCTCAGTAAATATTTGAATGAGATGAATGAATGATAGTAATTCCAATTCTATAAAGCTCTAAAACAGGCAAACCTAAACATTGTGTTAATTAGGGATACACAGAGATAGTAAAACTATAAAAAAATAATGAATATTACAAAATCATGGTTATAAGTAAGCTCTGGAGTAGGGAAGGCAAATACAATATAGGAAGGACAAAGGAAATTTTTTTCTCTCTTAACCTGGGCTTTCAAATGTGGGTGTACACCTGCGTGCGCACACACACAATATACTTCACAACAAGAAAGAACATTTTTTTAAAATTCCATTAGCACTCCTACCCCTAAACCTTACTCTGCTTCACCCAGACTGTGATTTATCTATGACTTCTACAACCTAACACAAGAGTCCAGGTAACGACTAGAATAGTTCATGCTAATAAAACAGTGGCAAAGTCTGTCTAGGAATCTGATCGAAATTCTGAGATTTACATTGATTCTCTTATACAATTGAAATAGGAGTCATCAGAAATCAAGTATTAATAAATATAAGAGAACAAATGTTTTCACATCAACCAGTAAGAAACCAATAGAAAAACTACTACATGTCGAAAGACAGATATACAGATATGGATGTAGAGATACAGAGATACAGGTATAGAGATAGAGATAGAGATATAGCTTAATTCAGTGTGAAGGAAATATTTCAAACATACCTGTATGCTGCCAAACTCAACGTTCTCATAATGGAAATGTGCACATTCAGCCATCTTCGGAAAGTGACCTTTAGTGAAAGGTAACCTGAAGTACATGAAATAAATAAGTGAGGTATAAGACACTGAAATAGTCTAAATTACTAAGCCTAAGGAGAAAATAAAATGGGTTCAGGAGCTCATGCAAGCGAAACTATTTAATAAGCACATGCGCATGAGCACACATATACTCACACAAACCTTTTCAGGGATACACTGAATCAAATGAAAATTACATTTAGTGCACAGGTCAAAACCAAAAAAAAATTAAATTAAAATTAAAAAGCATCACTATACTCTCGTAATCATGACCCTAGTTAATGCCCACAGTAAAACTATGCTTTCAGTAAATGTTATGGAAACTGAGAACAGCCAGCTTCTAACCAGAAGCAGCATTCCCACCACAAAATATAAAGCCAGGTTTTACCTGTGAATGTTGTCGCAGCCCATCAGTCCTGGATTGGTGGGTCTGGATGCAGAATGGACATTTTTATCCTTGTCTTTTCTCTACTTATAATAAAAATATAGCTATCTAACCTTCTGCCAAGTGAAAAGATGGTTCTTCTGTTTGAAACCGAAATAGATACCTTAAGATATTTATTTCACTTAAATCAATGACTGGCATCTATTTAAGGCCCTCTCAAAGGCAACGCTGAGATACAGCAATCTCATAACTCAAACAACAAACTTGATTTTTCTAAATGAATGGGAACACGTATTAAAGGTACCAAAAGGACATATTTGAGTTGTTCCTGTTGGACAAATGCAACCTCATAGATAATAATAGCATAAAGTTGTTGCAAGAAAAAAATTAAAGTATATTTTTAGACTAGTAGATAATCGTCAGACCTTTTCCACTAATTGTTGAGTCACAATTTAAAGCTTAACAGTATAATTTAATGTATGGATAGTAAGAGCTTACTTAGTAGGAAATATAAATAAAAGTTGTAAGAGAACTAAAGAACTGATTTCCATTTACGGGAATTCATTTAAAACCCATTGTAAAATTATACTTACTTTTTCACATGTTTAACCTTCATACTGGCTGTAGTGTTACTTGTCTTCAGATTGAGGTCTCCAGGAATCTCAGGAACATCTGCTCCTCTAGCCTTAAAAACAATAAAGACAAAAGATTTATGACTATTCGCTTAGTATGAATACATTTTAAAAAGGAGATTATAGCTAATTTTAATAGTTCTACTCATTTGGTACCAATAGCAATATATAATGATTTAATAATCTCCTCTTATGATTATAATTTACCTGAGTTCTAATTATTAAGAATAACTGAGAAAAATATTCCAATTTAAATATTTAACTTTACTGTATGAGGAAAAATTTGTTAAAAGAACTTTCATGCTTTTATGTTCAAATTTCAAAATCAGCTATTTTGTGTCTCAGCACAAACTTAAATCTCTTCAGAAAGCTGGTAGAATAAAATAACCTTGGTTACAATGATTCATAAAAAGTAAAATGGTAAAATGAACATAATTAGGACATCACAACATGCATTTTGCACACCAAAACTTGAAAATTATATCTATGTAACACTTCCAAACTTAACTCCTTCATCTGCCACAGTTTTCATAGTAATGATTTTTTTAACTTCAGTGACAAATTCAGCTGCATCACTTTATAAACAGAAGCTGAAAATCAAAAGTTTCTTCACACTCTGAACAAAATAAACAGCAAATCCAAATATCTATCTTAAAAAACATATTGATGCTACATTATCTGTGATTTGTAACAGAAAAACTTAATTATAGCCAATGTCACATGATGCAATAAGAGAATAATATGGAATAATCAGTTAAATTGAGTTAAGAAGAGATTCTCAAAGAAGATGTGGAAACATATACAATGGAATACTTTTCAGTCACAAAGAAATAATGAAATTTTGCCAATTTGTGACAACATGGTTGGACCTTGAGCACATAATGCTAAGTGAAATGAGTCCAAAAAAAGGACAAAAATCACATGATCTCATTATATGTGGCCCCTAAAAAGATAAAACAAAAGCCAAGCTTACAGATACTGAGAAGAGATTGGGGAGTGATAAGAGCGGGAGGCTGGGGAGTGGGCAAAAAGAGTGAAGGGGGTCAAAATGTACAAATTGCTTGTTATAAAATTAGTCATGGGGATGTAATGTACAGTGTGGTGACTATAGTTAACAGTACTGTATTTTATATTTGAAAGTTGCTAAGAGAGCAGATCTTAAAAGTTCTGATGACAAGAAAAAAATTTTGTAACTACATATAGTGACGAATGTTAAATAGACTTACTGTGGTGATCTCTTTGCAATGCATACAAATATCAAATGATTATGCTGTGCACCTGAAACTAATATAATGGTATATATCAATTATACCTCAATTTAAAAAAGGAGCTGCACAACATCGACTTGATTTTTAAAATGTTTTCTTATAAAAAAATAGCATAGACAGTTTGGATAAATGTTAAAAACCATGACTTTTCAAAGATATGAGGTAACATATAAGACTTAAGCCTTGATACATCATCAGGGTCCACTGGACTCAAATTGTTCTACTGAGGTTTTGTTCCTTAGCATACCTTACTAAACTTGCTAAGCTTAATTGTTAAGAGGGGATATTTCATGATCAATCATTATTAGAAATCTGTTTATTCTTTCTTAGAGGTCTTCTAAAGAGAAAAAAATTCACTATATCTTTTAGTAATGAAACAGAACTCATTCTATTTTGCAATTACCATATGGATCCATTGGATCTTTTTATAAATCTGGGCAGGATTTTGGTCTTATTCTTCCTCTATCTTAAAACAAAGTTATTTCATAATCCTAGGTGGTATTTTATCAGTATTCATCATCATTCATCAATTATTCCCTATCATGCTGAAAAAAGAATAAAATAAAAAAATAATTTTAAAAAAGGAACATGGGAGAATCACCTAGAACAAGGTTGCCAAGCTTTTCTTAAAGGGTTATGGACTTGTGGACCACACTGTCTCTGCCACACTCAACTCTGTCATTATAGCACAGAAGCAGCCATTTCTAAATGATTAAACATCACCATGTTCCAATAAAACTTTATTTTCAAAAACAGACAGCCAGAAAATTGAAGAAGTTTGTCAACCTCTGACCTACAATATTGATGCAATAAGTGAAAAAAATCATCATCCAGTTTTTATGCGGTGTTGACCAAATTGTTGCATCACCTTTCAAGAAGGTACTTATCAGGCTTAAAGATACCATCTTTGTAGTCGGTATTTCGCTTTCACTGAATAACTATTGGAGAACTCCATATTTTTCATTTTCCATCCATAACAGAGAAGGGAAAAACTGACAAAGAAAGATATTTTACAATATTTAGACACATCAAAGGATGGGTGCAAAGAGACAGCAGCACTCTAACAATGGCGGTCAAAATGATCATGTAAATGACAACTCAGATTGATGATAATATCCTAGAGAAATATTATATAACTTAAGAATTATGAGCAAACAACATATTTCTAAGAAAAAAATATATGTGGCATTTTCCTCCAGTTAACCATTCAACTGAAAGAACTTTATCACACAGTATTTTGTAACAACCTGGATTACTTTGTTTTACTAAAATAACGTGTGAAGGTATTCTTTATCTTTTTTTATTATTTATTATTATTTATGCTTATGGCACCTGGTCTTCCTAGGTGGTCTCCCATCTAAGTACTAACCATACCTGACCCTGCTTAGTTTCCAAGATCAGACATCGGGCTTGTTCAAGGTGGCATGGCCGTCGACCATGGACCGTGGCTCCACTGGGGCGCAAACCCAGGACCTTTTGCGTGTAAAGCAAACGTGCTAACCATTACACTATGGAACCACGTCCTGAAGATATTCTTTAATGTTTTATATCCGTGCACCAAAATTTACATAAAGATTACAAAATTGACATAAAAAGATTTGCTGAGCTTAAATTCTTATTAAAATTTCTAATAAAGTGGTTTTTCACTATTCTGTAAATTATTCATAAATTGAACTAAAAAGAAAAAGTAAGAAAGGGTACACTGGACCCAGGTGGTAAAAGGTAATGACTTTATTTGGTAGACTGAAAATTAAAATATTAGCTGTCTTTTGAAAACAAGCTCTCTGTGCTAGATGGGCCATTGCCCCTAACACATATCTAAAGAGAAAATTAGGAAATTCGCCTAGCTTATAATCCACATGAGGAAGATACACTATGGACTACACACCTCTGCAACCACAACTGACTGAACTGTAGATAGAAACATGACCAAAAGATAAATTCACAGCCTATCCAAAGGAGCCTGACAAGAAAACCTCTAAAAAAATAAAATGGCAATAATTAGGCAAACGAACCAAGCAATGGTCCATGAAGTCTTAGAGAATTCGAGAAAACATTCTGAACCAAGCCACTAAACATGTATTTTTGTATAGCAATATTTTCCCATAGCGTAGGAAAGTCCCAAGCACATTCTGGCCACTCAGTAGATTTTTGTGAAAGAATAAATACACTTTAATGTAAAAAAGTGTTAACATTTATTCTTTTAAGATTAGAAAAGTATAGTAATATTACTCTATTGTCTGATAAACTAACATTTTCACCTATGTGTTTTTTAACTAAAATAAATTTTCTAAATTTCTACTGAAAGCATATAGCTTGAATCACTTTATTCTGTTGCTCTAAATCAAAGATTAAGAAAGTTCTCTTATAGAAGATAATTCATTAAGTAACATTCATTACAGAAAATATCCGATTTCCCTAATTTATTCATGCTATAATCATCACTTAATTATGCTCCCAAAACAGAATTTATATCAACTTCACAGAAACACCATTAATCAACAGAAAATTAAAGAGACAACAGAAGGCAATGGAATGTACTTTCAAAAAAGCACACACCATTTACATTTAAACCCTCTAGCAATAAAATGACTTCTTATAAGGTTAGACCATTTAATTCATCTTTGAATTATTAGCATAAGGCACAAAGGGTGTGCTCCAGTTTAAAGGAATTAATAGAGTAACTATTTTTATCTCCTCACTCTTCCCTATATTCAGTTTTATAGCTCTTGTTTACACTGTGGAATTTAACCGATATGTTCATTATCCCTATATACATAGCCTTACCTTCAAAATGCAATTAAAATCTACCTATTCCATAAGCCTGTCCCAATAACTTAGTTCAGTGCTGATATTTTCTTTTATTAATCTTCCATAGGGCTAACCCTATATACAAGTTGAAGCATTTTATTATATTTTTATTCATATTTTACTGTAAACTGCCTTGTCTAGTTCTCCAAAGTTTTTTTTTTTCATTTATCAAGAGAATAAATGATATATTACTCCATTGAGCCAGAGCCAATGGAGTAATATAAATACATATTTTATCAATATATGATATCCCCAAACCCTGTTACACCACTAAAGTTTAGTACCATTTGAGGAAAAGGCTCAAAGAAACCTAGTACTGCTAATTACCGTAGAAAAGCAAATTAAGAATTTCATTCTCATTTTTTAATTCTCCTGCCTAATAAGCAATATCTATGAAAACCTATAGTTAACAAAATAAAACTCTTCATTGTAACAGCTCTATTTTTATGAGTAAGAATATTTTACTATTTTGATACACAGTGCTAAATAATTTCCCAGAAACACTGTCCAATTTACAGTGGCATCAACCATGTACAGTGCTTATTTTCTAATAACCTCACAATCTTTATCTTTGTCAATCTGAAAGGATTATTTCTTGATCTTTATTCATAATTAAATAGGCAAAAGTTAATGAAGTTTCACATATTTAGTGGGCATCCACATTATTGTGTATATTTTATTTGCAGATTCTATATTTTAGATTTTTTTCACAGAAAATATCCTTTTTTAAGTTAAAGCTAGTAATATTTGTCTGACACATAAATCTGAAGATATTTAATAGCTTGCCATTAAAATTATAAACCTGTAAGTTGTGGGCCTTACACTTCCTGATTTCAAGATTTACTGTTAAGCAATAGTGTGATACTGTAGTAAGGATGAACAAATTAATGAAATATAACAGAAAGCCAGAAAAAGTCCACCCATACACAACAAAACTTGACTTTGTGACAAAAGTAACAATGTAATTCAAAAGA